ACGAGCAACGAGCCAAGCATTATTCTTCATAAGTATTATCAAGCGGGAGAACTCATTATTGGTGGTGCAATTTCTCAGTTTTTCCTTGCTGCTGAAGAAGCCAAATTCACAAGGCATCCGTCTCAGGGCATGACGGATTTCATGTAAGGAAATGGAACTATTCAGACTCTCTCCTGACTTTATTTTTATGTTTTTCCCCCTTGTGCCATCACTCTGTCAAATAGTTAATTCCTACAGCACTGTTCTACGCCTAAGGATATTTACTCATGTAGTAGGGTTGTATTACTATTATCCAGTGGTGGATTCTGGATCCTGTTGCAACCGGTATGGTGCAACAGGGCCGGGCGTCCACCACATGAATGTGTGCAGCACGCGCGCATGCGTGAACTGCGTGCGCATGCGTACTTACCACCTGCGACACTCCGCAATGCCTCCGCGACTCTCCAGCTGCTCGGAAGACCATCGCACAGGAGCCGTATGCTCCATGTGCAGGAGCCGTACGCTCCATGTGCAGCCGTGTAAGCCCTGAAAACCACAAATATTGGTAAGGAGTGCAGGTGGGTGGTTGGGCCCTCCAGAGTACCGTACCGGAATGGTACCTGGTGCTCCCGGCAGGCACCCACCACTGCTATTATCCCTCTCTCTTTCCTATTACCTCCTCTCTCTTTTTAATGCTTAAATAGGGATTTTTAATCCCTCCAAGTTAAATGCAGAAAGAACCATAACAAGTAAGAGATACAAGCAACAAAGCTACAGTCCAGTGGTGGGTTGCAGGTGGTACGCCCCGGTACGGGCATACCAGTGCCTTCCGGGAGCTGGTCACCATCAGGCTGGTCACCATAGGGAAGGGATCTGCTGTCCTACAAACCAGAACTGTGCCAGCTCTCTGTGTAACCGACTCCCTCTCCCCCTTACATAAACGTTAAATTCAGTATGACAACAAACGTTTAAAAAGCAGAACAATCACTTTCTAAGGTGGAGAAAGTTTTGGCTGACCAATTCTTTTTGTGTTTGAACCTGCCACCAAAAAGAGTTCAAAACAAACTTCTGAGAATGAGCATTTTCTAAGACTTCCAGTAGATCCTTCAGCATCCACCAGAATATGATCTTTCGGTGATCCCCCAATGACCTTTTCTTCCATGAAGGGGATCTCCTGTTTGAGCTGGGAATGTCAGGATCACAGAGGAGGGCACTGTGCACATATTTGGGGAATGGCATCTGAGCTTGCAACCACTGCTTGTACTCGTCTTCGGGCATATCCACAATATATTATCTCTTGCCTTCTCTTATTTGTATCTTATGTTTATATTACTTTGCTGTTTGTATGTACACTGTGAGTTTATGACCGGGGGAAAAATTCCTCATGTGTCCAACCACTCGACCAATCACAATAAAGAATATTCTATTCTACATATATTGGTTATTGTTTTAGCGGAATGCACAAGACAACATTTCAACAACTGCTTATAACACTGTCTGAATTAAATAAGATACTAAGTCCCTATGGCTAATTATTAGACAGTGCTAGGTCTGATTTCCAGATAATGATGGCAGCTGGTATTTTTTTTCTATAGCCATGTTAAGTAACAAGCATCTCTTCCCAGCTGTCCAGCCATTCAGAAACATGTTAGCAAAAACCCTGAAAACAATAGCTAACTTCAGAAACAACCCTGCAGGCAGGGGGTTGGACTAGAAGACCTCCAAGGTCCTTTCCAACTCTGTTATTCTATTCTATTCTGTTCTATTCTATTTGTGTTCTATTTCATTGCAGATTACTGACTCAGGCTTACCAACATATCTTAGCTTTGGTGTTTGCTGTGAAGGAGATTAATGAAAATCCTCAGATCTTAACCAATGCTACCCTAGGATTCAACATCCACAACACTTATTTTAGTCCAAGACATACTTCTGCAGCCACAATGGAATTAATCTCTACATCAGGCAGATTTATTCCTAATTACAAATGTGACATCCAGAACATTTTGGTGTCTGTCATTGGAGGACCGAGTTCTAATGAATTCCTGGACATGGTTACCATCCTGAACAACTACAAAATTGCACAGGTAAGTGACTTTTATGAAACTGGAAAGGTTTTTTTTTCCCCAAGTTTAATTTGTTTTAGCAATAGCAATAGCAATAGCAA